ACGATTAAAGCCCCTGCAGATAAACTAACCAACTGTTTTAGAAAGATTTTTTGTACCAATCACTTGCTTCTTGCTGTTCAACGTCTTTGCTTTCATCGGTTCCATGTTGGCCGGTCGCTTCCAATACGTGAGTCTTACTACAATCTGGCTTAAAAATTTCATGCTCTTTGATCTTTCTTACCAATCAGTCGTTTTCTGGATGAAGTTTAATTGTTCCAGCTCGTTTAATGGAAAAATCTGTTTGTTGACCCTATTGATCTTATAGTTACGCTAAAATAAAGGTTCTTCTTGCCATTCTAACTGGAAAGATGCATCTTTGAATATCTAGTATAGGACACCTGTTTGACATGAGAAAATGATTCTACGGAAAATTGCTGTGACCTCTTTAACTACCTTTCATATGATTTTTCCATGTTTAGCCAAGCCCGGAAAAACTCTGGATAGCCGTTTATCCGCGTCTTCTCTTCATACCATTCTTTGCGTTTTGTAATTACAGACCACTTACTAGGTACAGTCCAGCCTTTACGCCTTTTTTAGATTTGCTTATGTCGGGATACAACGAATTTCAGAACATGGCCAGTTCTGTTTCCTAGCACATGGCTGTACATGCTCATGGGATTAATCATGAGTATTTCGAGTGGATATCTTAGCGGCCTCGCAATGATGTACACTCCTAGGTAATTTTGAAAAATAACTCGTTCACTTACAAGATAAGAGTGAGATTTGATTTCGAAAACGAATTAAATTCTGTTCCCAGAGTTGTGGAGGCATCGAAAAGTCGCATTGCAAGTATGATGGCCGGATTCTTTCTTATCTTCGGTAGTCTCGTTAAACATTATGTTTTTCTTTCTCGCAAGAGACATGATTCCATTTTTTCCAGGTATTGTTAGTGGCTTGGCCTTCACCATCGTCGTCTCGGCTTTCATTGAGTATAAGCATTGAAAGCTCTCGTTACTGTAACTTTTCCTTTTCATTGTTATTATTTCCATGTGCCTATGATTGTTATTGTTGGGGTTGATCTATCTGTAAATGGCAGTTGACTTCACTGTTACGGCAGTATCTTTCTTGTTGATCTGAGGTAAGTGTTCTATCTTTTTTAGTATTTTCAACCTACAGCATCGATCATACTGGTCCTGGTCGTGCTAACTACACCTCATTACTATTTTCTGTTTCCCTTCACACTCTTCCCATAAACCAACACCATAATTCTTTCAAAGCTAGTGATGTTTGCATCGAAGGAGGCAGCTGTTTGCGCGCTTCAAAGTTAGAACACAACGCAACCGCAAAAAACGCGGCATGTACTGTTGTAGAAAACTATGCCATTGACGTTATTCCTTGTTTGTACTGACATCTCTGTCAAGTAATTGTTTCCTTAACACCATTACCTCTCGGCCTCATGCGAGTACCCAAGAAATTCATTTGATAAGTGGATTGGAGGTATGAGTGCTCTTTGTTATGTTTTACTCATATGACTCAATGTAAAAGCTTGTTGAGTTTGAATAAAGTGTGCTCCCAGATATCGATCAAAGATTATAATCAATCAATTGCATTTTTTTCTCAGATTGGTGCTGCTCTTCAAATAATTTGTACGACTCCTCCATAATTCATAGAGATGACCGATCGAAGGCGTGGTTGCGTCGTGACAAAATCTGATGTCTGTCGGAATTAACACAAGTTCTAACTATGACCCGCTTCCTTCGAAGTGAACTCCTTGATTTCTTCTAAAAGCAACTTTAGAATATTCAGAAGGCGGCAGCGATGAGACATTGCGCGAGTGAGATGCCTAATCAAAAGATGAGAAATTAACCCATACTAGTTAAAGTCGCGTAATGCGTGTATACAAACTGCATATCTGTTGACGTCTTTGCAATTTTATTAACCTAGTGACATATCAAGTTTGACAAAACTGGAGTCTATAGGAAGAAACGAAATGTGCGAAAATGGATTGATAAAGCAGATTTTATTTGTTTACAAGTTGCTATTTAGATGAAACGTTGCAATAAAGGCGTCGACATTCAGTTTATGGCAAAAACAGCACGGCATAATTGAAAGTTGGGTTGAATTTCGGCTGACGTTGACTTTGTCGCAATGCAATCACCCTCCAATAATTCTGGAAACTAA